AAGAACAGGAAGCTGGAGCAGAGTGTGTGAGGGTGGGCAAGGCGGTATGAAATAGGCTCTATGGTTAGAACAGTGTTTCTCTAATTGTGGTTTTGTAGCTACAGGGGTAGTTGGGATCTTTTCACGGGGTCAAAATAATATGTAGGTAAAAGATCCATTTAAAGTGAGAAGTGGATTTTAATGTAACAGAGTTCTCTGATGTGGTTTCAGATGCCACATCGCAGTTGAACTTTAGGAAACTATCACACTTGAGTTTGCAGTGTCAAAGAAGAATATCCACAATTATCTGAAAAGGCTATTACAATATTCAGTCCTCTTACAACTACTTATCTATGTGAGGCTCAATATTCTTTGTGTACTTTAATCATATATGTTAGCCATTATTATTACTAATAGCAACCTGCTAGGTGACAGGTGCTATTCCTGTCTTCATAGAGCTTATATTCCAATGGGGAGGGGGTGTAGATAATAAGCAAATTTATTGCCACATATTGCAACGGGTTAAATATAGAAGCAGATATGAGAATTCATCTTTTTCTTTAGCTAGACAGTAAATAATATCTAACCAGACATTAAAAAGATTTCCAACAATGTAAAACAATGCTACCTTTTTTTAACCTTTTTTGTTTTATACAATATAGTTACTTTTTATTAAAATGTTACTTACATTAACATAAAATGGTTTATTCCATTTTAAAATTATTTAGTAAACATTTAAATTTTTTCTCAGTTTTGATTTTTAATATAGTAGCTACTGCTAGCTGTAACCCACATAAACAAAAGGTCTTTGGGATTTTCAGTAATTGTTAAGAATGTATAAGGGTACTGGGAACAAAAGTTTGAGAAGTGCTTGTTTAGAATGAGGCCAAATTGTAGAGATACTGTGAGCTAGTCTGGGGGTCTTGGACTTTATTCCAGGGTACTTTGGGTCAGTGATAAAGAGTTGTGATTTGTTTTATTTTGAGTCATTCAGAATGTGAAAGTAATATTGATATCCTTTTGCAGTGCTACTTTTTCACTGTGGAGTTTGGTCTGTGTAAACAAGATGGGCAGCTAAGAGTCTTTGGTGCTGGCTTACTTTCTTCTATCAGTGAACTCAAGGTAAGAGTTGTAAATCTTTGCGCTTCTCATATTCACTTAATATAATTGATACAACCGGAAATAGTTTTTGAATTTGAACAAGAGCTTACTATGGAAAATACGTAGGGTAGCAGTAAATATTACTTAAAGGACACTTTTCTTGATTTCCCAAGTTTTTGGACATTTATCTCTATCATCTATCTATCTCTTTTAAATGAAAAAAGTATTTTAAAGCTTTTGCTTGCAAATTCTTGCTGTTTCTTCATCATTTTTGGTGTGCTAGCAATAACTTCTAGGAAACTTTTTGAGATTTATTATTTGGCCAATAAAGAAATAAACAGGTTAGTTGAGTGATGAATGTGTGTGTGAAACACTGTCTAAGGCACTCTCTTGCTCTCAAGGAGCCTACCACCTGGTGGTGGGTACAAGTCATGCATAAGAATAACTAGTGCAGGTTGAGAGAGTAGGTGCCATAATGCAGGAATAAACAAATAAAGATCCTTGGGTGCCTCCTACATGGAGAAGAGTGTTAGAACAATCGAGATGATCTTGGGGCAATTATGGAGAACAGCAAGCCATTTGTTTAGCTAGAGAATTTTATGGGTTATATAGAACCGTAGGAAATAAATTTAGAATTGTAGGTTGGAGCCATTGTGTTAGTAATACGTTCAGAGGTGTGCCGATTCTGGCAGTTGTGCGTAGAATGTGATCTATGAAAATAAAGAGTATTCTTTGATTCATTGACTCTTTGTCCTCTAGCATGCACTTTCTGGACATGCCAAAGTAAAGCCCTTTGACCCCAAGATTACCTGCAAACAGGAGTGTCTCATCACAACTTTTCAGGATGTCTACTTTGTGTCTGAAAGCTTTGAAGATGCAAAAGAGAAGATGAGGTAAAGTATATTTTCCTCATGCCTTAATTTTTCTCTGCAAGACAGAGGTCCAATAATGGTAAGAAATCACAGAAGTGAGCATCTGGATAAATAGAAGCCCACCAGGCGCCTTCTGCCTGTAACAAATCTCCCTTTCTCAACAAATATTTAGAGTATGTTGGGTATAATGATATTCAGTAGTTGAAATAATGAATCAGATACATTGAGAAATTTGTATCTTTCCATTTTTCCAGTCAGAGAGTTTATAATCTAATATGGGGGCGGGGGGGAAACTATACTCAAATCACTATATAACAATACAGAAAGCCTTAGAGGAGATATGTATGAAATATGGTTCTGCATTTTATTTAGGAGCAATTCATTTCAGCTGGGAGAACAGGGAAAGCTAAATGGCATTTTAGAAAGGACTTGAAAGATAGGTAGGATTTAGGCATGTTAAGTTTTAAGCTAAGGGGCAGCATAAAAAAGGTAAGGAGGTGAAAAAATATGCGAGACGTGGGATACAATCAAAGCTATGCTGTAACTATTAATCAGCTAAGTGTGTTATTAAGAAAGAAAGATATTGGAGTCAGAGAAACGATTTAGATTCTTACAGTACTTCGAGAAAAATACAAGCTGGAACTAAGATATAGGTCGTAGGAAAGGAAAAGATAGAAGCAGGATCAACAAAACAACTTTTGGTGGAAGGGGTCATGAGGTCACCTTGTGCAATGAAGATAGATAGGGGCTGAAGACATGCTCCTTGTCTTCTAGGGATTTTCCATTAGTTGGGGAGCTAAGCTGTGAACAGAATCAAATAAGAATACTAAAGGGCTTCCTCTAGAAGAGGGGGCCCCTCTGGGTAGACCAGGCAGATTGCAAGCTGGATTTCATTCCCTGCTCATGTATAATTGTCCTCAGCTGCACAATCATCCCTAGGTGTCCTGAACATGATTGTTCTTGATGGTACCGAATGAGAGGTTCACATTTTGGATTGCTAAAAAAAGCAGAACGTCCGTGCTTGAAGAAAGGATAGAATTTAGGTCATTCGAGAGAAGTCTAGAGGAAACATTCTAAGCAGAAAGAATGTACATGTGCAGGAGGCAGGACTGTTCTTGGCCTGTGCGTGTGTGTAGGTGTAGTTATGGAAGTCACAATAGAGGGGTCTATTACTATGTGGTCAATGTTGTCATTATATACCAATAAAACTATTGTGGTTGGTCTTCCTACTGCAGTTAAGAGGTGTATAAAGTAAGAAATTGTTAATAAAGCCCTCCACAGGATCCTTCCCTAGTAATGCAGGGATAGATATATCCATGACTACTTTAGGTTTTCTACCTGTGTGGGATTCCAGGGGACCTCTGCACATGTAGTGTAGAGAGGTAAGTCAGATTGGTTGCATGAACATCTAGTAGAAATTTATCTTTTGCCTAGTGTGTGAAATAGGTTTGCTGTTGTTTATTTAGTTTTCATCATTCTCCCTCGCTCTGGAAATTGATTGCCTTTTATTTGTTTTCTTTTTTTAATAGAGAATTTACCAAAACAATTAAGCGCCCATTTGGAGTGAAGTATAATCCATACACACATAGTATTCAGATCTTGAAAGACACCAAGAGCATAACCAGAGCCATGAACGAGCTGCGGCATGATCTCGATGTTGTCAGTGACGCCCTTGCGAAGGTTGGCAGGCAGCCGAGCATCTGACAAGGTCCTAATCCTGAGAGCATCTGAGTATCAATTCAGAGGCCTGTGGGCCAGCTCTTGCTTTTCTTGAAGATTTGGTCATGGAAAGATGGCAACCAAATAATATTTTCTACTCTTATTTCTTAATGGATCATTAGTCTTTGAAAATTTATACCTGGATATTCTAGCCACCACCTATTATTATTATTTTTTTGGTAACAGCTTTAGTAAAATATGATTCACATACCATACAATTCACTGACCACCATTCTGACCTAATAGATACATCTAGTCCCAGCCTGATTCTATTTTCCCCAATTCTTCTTGAGTAAAATGACCTTTATGATCACTTAAAATATCCTGATAGGTATTATGGAGCTGGTCTATACGGTTACCTAAGATCCTCTTATTTCTGAAGTATCTTATCACTTAATTTACACCAAGCTCAATCACAGTCACACCTCTAAATTTAATAGGAGACCAGCTGCTAGCATGAGAAAAAGTATAAAGGCTTTTACACATGAAGCATACCTAGTAAATAACAGGCAGTTTAGTTTCAAGTGTAGTATCTTGTAGGAGAAATAGGAGTAGCTAAGTCTGGAAAGGTTGATTGGGATATAATTCTAAGAATTTGGGACTTTATTTTATAGGCACCAGGGGGCTTCTTACCAAGAGACCATCCTCCTTCAAACTTTCCTTTCATTGGCATTACATGATGCTAGTTTTGTTTTATATTTTCTGTCCTATTCATGGTGCCAGGGGAACTTGGTGGGTGTACCACTTGCAAGGTCCTGTACTCAGACAGGCAGCCCCAGGTGTGGTGATGTGATTGCCCTCAGGTTAGCAGGAGACAGTGTTGTCAAACGGAGAGTTCAAACTGAGACCAATGAGAAAAGCACAAAGTTAAAGTTGGAAAAGCAGTGCTGAGCACTTTGTTTCCAAGGTATAAGGTGAGACCATAAATAGGAAGGCAAGTTGTGAGGGTAGACTGGGGGAAATAGGACGGAATTGGAGTGTAAGAAAGGAAGACCATGTTAGGATTGACACTGTAATAATGCAAAGGCTGCAAGGACTGGTTTTCATGTGGTGTCAGCTGTGTAGTACAGGGACTAGGCCTGATATAAATGGGTAAAGCTGGACTCCTAAATATATGCTGATCTCTTTAATTTGCTCCTTTCTCTCCCCGTACACACTAAAGGAAGACTTTCCTCAAGTGTCTGTCTTTGACTGTCTTCTCTCTCTGCTATTTCTTCATGGGATATATCATCCACATCCATCACTTCAATTCTTATTTTGTATGACTCATATTAGCAATTCTAACCCTCATATCTTTCTTGAATTTTTGCCTCTTAATTTCAGCTGGATATTTACAACTAGATGTTCTGTAAGTTAGGCCAATGTACAACTTTTTGTGGCACCATTTGCATAGAATGAAATGGAGTTGTGTAATATGGCAGACCTGCCAAGTATATCAAACTCAACAGGATCAAAAAGAAACTCAGAATCACCTGGATATCATATCCCCTCAGCTTCCGCTCCCAGTGATCTCATTTCTATTAATGCTATATTAAGGGTCATATTTTCTGACAATTTTCCATTCTTAAGACACTGTGTCATTTTTTTCACATTAATAGTCAAATTGTATATCACTTAATGTTTTATTTTAACAGACCACTAGATCTTTTAATCCTTTTTAGACCTTGAAAGTAATTATAAAAATCTTAAAAAAATTTTCTTTCATTTTGTGTCCTACTAGGAAATAGAATTAGAAAAGGTAATTCATGCTATTTCGTATTTTATGTTACTTATAAATTTTAATAGCTGATTAACTGTTGAATATACATTTGACAGTAAATAGATCTAAGTCAGTTAATCTAAAATCATGTGAAATATTTATTAGCTAGTTCAGTTAGTGTACTTTGTTACAAGGAAATCTATTGTAAGCAAACCATGATAGATGGCAAATAACAGCAAATTATGCATAATGTATCTGGTTATTTTCATACAACTTTGATTATGGTGAAAAATCATAGTTATTGAATTTAAAATGATGGTATTAAAATCACTTTATAACTAAAGCACGCTAAAATAAATGTTTGAAGGCATAACCATTATAATTCACAACTTAAGAATGATGAAAATGTTTAATGATCGATTTCAGTTATATCTAACCTCTGGATTTGTGATATGTGGTAAATTTGGAGTCCTGAGTGTCTTAGTATTTTCATGCATTTTAAATATATATCTTTAAAACATCTACGAATATGTTAATAGTTACTCAAATATGAGAACAGGATTGAACCTAAAGTTTAGATCATAACTCTTAATCAGTGAGTCATTACTCACAGACTTAGATGATATTTTCCTGACTTTTTAATAAAGCTCCAAAAGCTCTTCATCAGAATGTCTATACTCCTTAATCCAGTTTGTCATTTGGAGTTATACAGTAGTAATGGCCCACCATAATGTATAGAATTAGAGTTAATTTTTAAGTTGGCTTCCAAATTAAAAAAAGAAAAAAAATCCTGGAATTCTTTAAAGGACATATGATAGAGTTTATATACTAATTTCTAGGAGACGTATAAAGATGCTTTAGTCTATTTCAGTCTAGTCTTTGTTGTACTATGTAATTTATGATTTGCTAGTTTGTTATTCAACTGGATAATAAAATGGATACAAAATTCGTGGTCTCAACAAGTACTTATTTTTGGTCAAACATGTTAAAAACTGATATATATATATCTATTAGCAATCGTATTAGTTTAAGGAATCTATCACATCCTTACAGTTCTTTAAAAGCCTATGAATATGTGAGGTAAGGGAAGCTAAGTACACCTGGAATCTAGTAACTACTTTGTGGAATTCCTGGTAAAGTCTGTCTCGTGTTCCTCATCTGTAAAAGGAGCTAAATCTACTTCACTGGGTCATTGGAGGAATTATATTGTGAGAGGACTTTGTAAAAAGAAATGTGTCATCCATATGTAAAGAATCATTAATATAATCACTCTCCTAATCGGAGATTCCCCATAGCTTCTAGATGATTTTATCTTCTTCTGGAAGGAATTAACTTTTACTTTTAGCAGGTGGTATGTATATAATGTAATGGAAATGCCTCCTTAGTCTAATTGGGGATTAAGCAATTTGAAACTGAGCTTCATTCAGACTTTGTGAGGGCTGGTTTATTTCCAGTTCACCTCCACTCATGGGTGCAGCCCTTTAGGGATCCCAAAGGAAAACTATGGGTGTGTGCCAGGGCTTCTCCTTGGGGACCCTAGCCTCCTACTTTTTGTCCCCTCCTTCACTGGCATCCTTCCCCCCAACCCTCTCCCGTAAGATTGTTAAAGTGCTGCTCAGTTTCTCAGCTTCTCAGCTGCTGCTGCTTTCAGCCCAGTTTCTTAGTCTTCAAGTCACTGTTTGCTAATTAGCAAATGCTTCAAGCAGAAAAGATGTGCCAAATAAAATCTCTCAGCTTCCAGGTATTGGCCCTGTAAGTTCTGGCTGCTTTGATAGTTCTCCAATGACTTGAAACAGAGTTTAAAAATATTTTCCCCAGCTTTTCTAGCTGTTTTTATGAGAGAATCAGCCTGCAGCTAGCTAATCTGCTTTTACCATAAGCAGAAATCTGGCCTTGGAGTAAATCATTTAACTTCTTTGTGCCTCAGTTTTCTTGTCTACAAAATAATTATGACTCTAACAATACTTATCTTACCACTAATATTGAGAGGATCAAATAAGATAACCTAATGGAATAAATTTCCTAATCCGTATGGCCCGAAACACTTTATATTTTTTCTCTTAAGGGGATACAAGGCATCTGAAAGTGATACCATCAAATAGTTTAAATCTGGTGCTATTCAAGAACTGCAAATCAACTAGGCTGCTCATGGGAAGAGCTAGTCAGTGGCATGTACATAGTTGAAACAGTTGCAACATCTCAATACTTCCAAGAAATTATATTAAGGGATGTAACATAATAATATAACTGTAAGTTAGCTAAAGCATTGCTGCATGTTCACTCAAGGGGTAAAATCAGAAAACAACTGTATTCTCTCAGATCCTTTCTCTATTAAAACTGGCTCTGTGGGTAATTCCTCCTTGCCCCTTTGGATGAAATTTCAGGCCCTGGCCTTGAATATTCTGCTCACTCTCAGTCCTTAGTTTCTAATCTGTCTCTCTTTCTCTCTCTTCAGTATTTTAAAAGTCCAGTCTTATGTAAAAGTTCAAAACATTAAACTTTATCTAAATTTAACATTTTTCTTTTTCTCAAAACCAAGAAAGGTGCTTAGCTTCTTTATTTTCTTGCTCCCCCTTGCCCACTCACTAGGTTGCCTCTGACTCCTCCAGGGTTTGGGAATGGTAATGGAAAAGAGAGGTAAGAGTAAAAAGTTCTTTTAAATCTGATACTGTTGTGAGTTGGCATCAGTGTTTTTTGTACTTGGCAAGTATTTAGTGCTGACTCATTCTCTGTGGGTGTTTTGGAACACCTTTCCACCTTCTCATTTCTCGAGATCTCTTGGTATGGGTAAATGTACCTCTCTGACAGGGCCAGTGAATTCATTTCCCTCGGCCTCTAGTGGTCAACTCTCTTGGGGTGTCACTTCACCCCTCCAGAATTCCCTTGGACAGGGTCCAAGACCGTCCTCTGGCCAAATTGCTTGTGTATGGGAAACACTTACATGGAAGATACTCAGACATTCTTTGTCATGAAAGACACTGGGCATGGAAAACCTCTCCAAAGCATCAATCTCTCTTGCTCAACTATCAGAGCAGTTATCTCACTAAAAAACATTGGACTTCTCAGCACAAATTGGACAGCAGCCTGCCAGGCCCCAGTCTGGAGGGATACATACCAAGCTCTCTAAGTAGCCTAGCTGAAGCTTAGAGATGAGATGGGTGGGACTCATAGCACATGGACAACTATTGTCACATATGCTATCAGAATTCTCTCTCAGCCTCTCCAACCTCTTTCATAGACTGGAAGTCATACAGTGGTTTCTAGACACCTTCACAAGTTATGTTTGGTGGTCTTGTACTTCACTTTATAATGTGAAAGTATTGGCACTTAATGATGGCACTTAATGCCTTGGGGGTCTTGGCCCAAACTGAGACTGGTAGGGTCCCATTTTTACATCCTATTACACATGCTGGAAAGGAATGGTCAGACAAAAAAGTCCACTCTTAAAAAAAAAAATCAGCAAACATGGTATAGTTTTCGCACATGGGGGTCTCCTGAGTTTGTATTTTTCTTGGCATGGTCATGGATATTCTAGAGATGCCACAAGAGGTAAAAGTAAGGTGCTGCCCTCAAGTGGTCGCACAGTAGGAAACAACGAGGAGTGCGTGGAGTGAAACAGGAAAGGGCTGTATTAAGAGCTCACCCCAGACACTTTTCCAGGGCTCCCAGGCATAAAGGATGTTGAGTACTGGAGTCTCGTGTCAGCAGGGTGGTCGAGAACTAGTGAATATGAATTATCATCTTTAATGTGAACCCATATATACCAATAACATAATGTGTGGCGAGGAATATGTGGATTATGTACAAAAAGTACAAAGAAGAAAATAAAAATCACCTGTAATCCACCACTTCGAGAGTGTGTGCGCGCACACGTGTGTGAATGGAAAGCTGGTATAATACTTACTTTAATGACATGTCATGACTATTTCCCTTAATATCTTCTATATTTTTAAATGGTAACCTACTATTCCATTGCATGGCTATGCCATAATTTAATCAATTTATATTTGGACTTTCAGGTAGTAAGTTCTTTCCTATTACATGTAACCCCATAATGAATAACTTGCAGTTTGAGTTTTTGTGCACAGCTCTGATTATTTTGTGATAAATTAACAGAAGTGGAATTATAGGATAAATATCCATTTACCTATTTTCATATTCCTAATATGCATTGCCACATTTTCCTCCCGGAAAATTGTATTTATTTAGCTCCCACCAAAAGTGTATGCTAAAAGTCATTTTATGTGAAAATCTTTGTTGGGTGAAAATTGTTATTAATGATCAGAATCAGGCCAGGGCCATGCTCGGAATACTGAAGGTCAGAACGCGGCCCCGCAGGAATCTACAAGAACTAGTCTCCTCAGTTCAGTGTCCCGAGGTGTAAGTTCCCGCTCTGTGCCAGGCATTGAGGGCGACACCAACGATGTAAGACACCACACTCGCCTACGAAGACGTTCCCTCAGGTTTTGCAAATACACACCAAAATAGGCCCAATGACAGTCTGGCCTAAGACCCTGGGGCAGGACCCTTTCCTCCCCTTCCCAGGCTCCATTTCTTCCCCATCCAATGGTGACGCAGTCCCTGCCCTGTCAGCCCCACTGGGCTGTCGTGGGGCTCCAAGGAGACAAAAACGTGAAGGGGCGTGGTGCATTCGTCTAGAACTATTACTAAAAATAAAGAGTGAGCCACTCTGCAAGGCAGGCAGGGAGCCGTGGGCAGAGACGCTCAGAGCGCGCCGGGGCGGGGCCGCTGGGAGGTGGCTCGGGAGGAGGCACCGGC